GGTTCAGTGAGTTAGCATGTAACAGCCAGAGGTGGGAGTTACCGCACGACGTTATCGCGATACTTCGCTCACCACTCGATGTTATTGTGTCGAATCAGGTTATCAAAATTCATCTTTGTTGATTTGTTTGATCCACAACGATCGCGTTTGTTTTTTCTTTAAAAGACTGACGATGGTGTCCGGTGTGACTGAACGGGCTCCAGTTATTTCATCGGCGCTGAGTTCTGAAGAAATGAACGGTCTCCAGTTTAATTTGAATGCAGAGACAGAATATCAACAAAAACACGTCACAGTTTTTCGTTTCAGCCAATTTAAAATAAGTTTAGTGTTTTTTCACAGTGGTCATGCTACTTAATAAATTATTGATATGTGGTGGTGCTGTGAGAATGGCGAGGGCCAGCAGCTCTGACCATGCCCCAGCTGAGATACATACATGTCCTTCACCCTTCCCAGCAGTCCCCACAAACATACAGTAAATACTAACAAACAGTAAAAACACGAGCGACTCCAACATTAACTCGTAAACAGTTGGCTAACAGACGCGTGTCCGTCACACTGTGGTGATGGAAACGTACGCCCTTTCTCAATTCTCAAGTAGGCGAGTCCGCGCTCGCGTACTCGATGATGTCACAGGTCCAGAGTTTTTACTGCCGTCCTTAATTTAACTGTAATTTGTTATGAAGCTTAACTTTGGTCTCAGCCAAACTGATTTACTCAGGAACAAATAAAACACTGAAGTGATGACGATCTAAGAGACTTATAAATGTTTAACCTCAGTAGTGAAAGACTGCGGGTGCTTTGAAAATGATGTGCTGAGAGTCCGCTGTTCTCGCCGACTCTAGTGACCCTTGACCTCCCAGTCAGCTTCGAGCTGGTGGGTCACAGACGTCTCTGAAAACATCGGAGCACTTTTGCGAGTATGTGATATCTTGATAAACAGAGCAGATATTTCATGTTTACACAGCTACTTTCTCACCTGAAAGTATTTTGAAAGTTTATTTCAAAGAGTAATATTTAAAGGTTTTAGCCGCGCTCCTCCACCATTGTAGCGTTTGAGTTTTGGACGAAATGCATTCTGGGATATTTAGCTGTCCCAAGTCCACACGAGTCACCACCGATGCATGCTCGATAAAACGGACGGAGCGAGAACACATCCGGGAATTTTTCTCGGCTTGATGCTTTGAGTTTGAACAGTACTTGGTCTCCGACGGACGACGGATCACGAGTCCACGAGAACGCAAGTACGCACGAATACGCATATTGAGACAGGCCCATAATCTAACCAACGTTACATTTATTGCATTAATATGTGAGATGTTTAAATACTAGGGGACAGTAACCACGGAAACTCTCAGCAGAGGCAAAAACAACACATGCAGTGGAAGAAGAGAAGTTCTGTGTGATAATGAGAAATGACAGGAAACGCATTGATTACATGAAGAGAGGGAGGTGCACAACATCGGAGGGCAGGAGCTGAACGCCAGTGTCACACATCAGACGCCTGATGATGCTGAAACTGCAGCACCGTCACATCCAGTGTTCAGCTTCGCTGTGTTTCCATTTCAGGACATAGAACATAGAAGAGAGATCCTACTGGCTCACCTACATTTGTCTGACTGTGTCGGGGTGAAATAAATTCATAACCTGTGATCAGCTGCATGATGGAGTCGTGTCCTGTCACTGTTTTAAGGTGGAGCTTTAAATGGGCTCGTTTTTCATCCCCAAACAGGAAGTAAACACAAACACTTCCAGCTGTTTCTTGGTTACAATCAGGCATTAAAGCTGATTTTTATACACATTTACATGATTGGTGCTCCTCATTTGTGTAGTACTCTTTTATCAGGAGTACCAGAAACTGCTCTGATATACTTTGTATTGTTGCTCAGCACTCGTCAGACAGCCGGCTCGTTTCTTACCCGAGGGAATCTGGTTTCTTCTGTGAAGCCATCCGGAGCATCATTCCTAATAGATGTATCAGTTTCTCGTGTACTCCATTATCCGAGCGTATGACGGGCATATAAAGTAACGACTGTAACACTGCATCAATTCCCAGCATCCTGTTTTTGAACACGTTTCCAGAAATAAAGTAATGGACGACGAAATATGTGTGTCAACTTCCTGATCTGCCCCCGACCACAACAATGTAAACAGGTGACATCAAATATGATGTGACGCCGTACGTCGGCTTGCCTCTGGATATATAAAGCATATAAACATGTGCAGCAACAACTTGGCACAAACACATCACGACCGTGTCCTGACCTTTATTTTCAGTCTGGTGCTCAGTAACTCTGCTCTTTGTACTTTTGACTTGAAGGACATCTCCTTCAAGTACTGCACAGTACTACACAGTAATACACAGTACAGCTATCTGTGACTTAGGGCTGCCAC